ATGACTACTAATTAAAACAGCATGTAATTTAAGACTTAGGTATTATTTATTTCTGGAATTTTCCATTTAATATCTTCAGGCACTCAAACCACAGAAAGCAAAACCATGGATAAAGGAGGACTGCAACATACACTTATTTTAACACTTGTGTTAAAACTTGGACTGTTGAATGTTTTCTGGTTATTTGGGTCTCTCTGAAGAGTAGTCTAATGTTTGAAGAATTTCTGACTGAGTCTTCACCTTATATCCCCAGTCCCTCTAGCCAGAAAAGATTTCTCCACCTCCTTTGCAATAGAACACACATGTTGGCTCCACCAGCTGAAGTACCCCACACAAGTCTTCAGTTGAAGCAAAATAAACAGGTACTGCCTGAGTTCCTCATCTTGCCACCATGGCTGCAGAGACAACTGGCTTTTAGAGGCAGTGGTGAACTTGAGATTGGGGTCCTGCAGAGGCACATTCCTGATTCTGGTAGTCATAGCAACTGCCGTAACCTTGAGTTCTTGATATTCAATTTAGTGCAAACTGGAATATTTGGGTATGATGATGACAACGGCTTCCTTATTAAGACAGTGTTGTGGATGGTGTGGGCAATATACCTACAAGTTTGTAACCAAGGAAACCCTTTAAAAACCCTCTAGCTTCAATTGCTCTTTAATGACTTAAAAATCACTAATTTTGGAGGTCACATAGCCAGACAATACATTATTAGTCTCTCACTTGCCTTGTTGTAGGTGGTACCTCTGACGTGTGAGTTGTGATGATAATGGTTGCCTAGGTTACTCTTCAGGTCCTGAAGGCTGTTTTTGCTGCAAACACTCACTCTTTACTTGGGACTACAAATGTTTCATGGGTGACTGGAATGGTTTGATAAGGTTTGGCAACTCGGTCTTCACGTTACATCTATCTCCTTAGTAGCCTTGACTTTGGGTCAGATTCTTCTAGACTGTAAATAAATATTTGAGAAATGTTTTGTACAAAACAATAATTTAAGGTTAAATTGACCTAGACTTGCCTAATCTCCCAGGCAGGGCTAAAAGCACCTACCAGCTGCCATGACTGGTAACACCAGATCATAAAAGGAGTGAAAAGAGGTGGCCCCTGAGTTCCTGGAAGATCTCTACCTAGACCTATAAAATACATTTATATTCCTCTCCCCTCCTTCAAGATTCCTGCCCATATCTGTAATCCCACACCACCTTAGGGTTGACAAGCTGTTTTGTGAAGAAATCTCCCTCTTCTTCATTCTTTGGCCACTGAATCAAGTCTTTCTTTCTGCCCCCACTTGTCTCTTGGACATGGGGTTTTCCCTGGTGTGAACCTCCAACCCGGATTCAGTAACAGTTTAGCTTCCAGCTGGTTATCCAGACTCCCAAGTTTCAATGGTAGCCTCCTAATAATTTTGTAATAACTCATTTTCTGCTTAATTTGGCCCTGTGGGTCCTGGTGTTGGCAAAATAAACAAGAAGGAATCCAAGTTGCGATCAGAAAAATGGCTTTGTTGTTCCCTATCCCACTCCGTGATCCACATACCCTACAAGCTCCTGGATGAAATTCCTCTTAGATAATGCAAGCACTCCAGTCCCCTGAAGTCATAAGAATCGGTTCACTGTAGAAAATAATTTGTCTAGCCCAACATAATAACCAAAATTCTGGAATTTACTTTAATTGAAACTTTCTTCCTTTTCCAGCTTGAGTTGACTTCACTCAGAAGAATTTTGGGGGGTCAATGGTACACTTTTATTTCCCCCAATGGGGACCTCTACTCCATTCTGGTCAGGCTTTCTCTGCTCTTCTGGGGTTGAAGTGGGCAGGAGGGAGGAGAGGTAGAAGTGAAAAAACACTTAGGTGACTCCCACAGGTAAATATGCCTTTGATTTTCTCTGACCACAGCACGTGTTTGAAGAGATCTGAAGGCCCAGTATTGCATATGGTAGATGCTCAATAGATAATTGTACTTATTTTCATTAGATGTATATCTGATGTTTTCCCTCTATTCAATTCTAACAGCAGGAAGAATAACGACTAAATCTAGCCTTTGTCTGTAATAGAGTCATATATTTTATTATGATGTATCCTGTTAAGCTCTATAATTATTGGACTACTGATTAGGTCCCCAAAGCTTACGCCTCTTAAAACATTACTCTTTGTCTTCATGTGGTCATGGCAGCAGAAATACAAGTTTCATAAGCAGAGAGCCTATTCTGGCAGATGGATGGCTTTCCACCCAAGACTCAAACGCCCTTTCCATTGCTTCAGAGTAATTGCTAGAAGCTGCTACTCAGCTGGGGCCAACATTTTCTAGATTCTCTTGTGTCTGGGTGGGACTGTATGACTGAGGTCTGGCCAGTGGAATATAGTCAGAGTGTTGTTTGACACTTTCAGGCCTGGCCCATAAACCTTCCCTGTAATTGATCCTGCATGCACACTTTTTCCTTTTGGCTTCTGAGACGTTGGTGCTGGGGTTAGCTGGGAAGATGCTTGTTGAAGATGGCAGAGCCCTCCTCAGTCTAAGTCTTCAAATGATTCTGTGGAGCAGAGCTCTCTGCCTCCAATTGGACTGTACATCAGGGAAGAATTAGCTT